CACCCCCTGAAGGCAAATAACTGAGGTTGAAGTCAGGGACGCGCAGACAATGTTCAGAGCAAGGCCAAGTTAAGACGTGATGAATTACACCAACAGCGCCAATTGTCAATCTCGGGTCCTTCTTAAAATACATTTAATTAAATTAGTTCTTGATCTCTCAGGTGCTCACTGGGTTTCCATGAATTAAAAGAATGACCTGTATAATAGTCATACTGGTTCTGGTAGTATTATGAAATTCCTATTGAAGAAGGATGGGAAAATGGAAATATAATTATAATGCAGGAGCCTGGATGAGCTCAGATCACTGGACATCGGATGTCTATGGAAACTCAATTAACGGCTATATTGTGCCTGGAGATTGAAGATGAATGTAGTTTGCACAATCAATATTAGACATTATCTCTCAGGATACTGGCAGTTTTCACAAATTAGATTACTGAGGGAAATGACTTCCTATTGGTCAGATGGTCAGTATATAATACACTGTAAAACCCAACAGTCAACTTTATCAAATGAAATGATTGTAGTTAACTCAAAATTTACTGAAAGTTAATTCTACTCATTTCAAAAGAGTTTTGAACTCAGTTTTAAAGGTAATTCGTTATTTAAATACCTTATTACTTTAGCTTAAATGGAGTACAATTATTTTTTAACTCAAAAGGTTCGGTTTCCTCAAATGGTTTGAATTGTCTTAACTTATTGGGTTTTACAGTACTCAGTTGATTTGAGTTCTCTTAATTTATTGGGTTTTACTGTGCTCAAATTACTTCATTTACTCAAATGGATTAAGTTTACAGTACCCATTTAGTTTAGTTTTTGAACTTAAATGGTTTATTGCAATCGGTTTCCTCAAACGGTTTAAGTTAGCATAACTTTTTGGTGCCACCTTCCCCAATTCCGTAACCCATTCTTTAAATAATGGTTGACATCCTGAATGCCATTCTCTCATACTGATTTGTTTTCCAATCATAATTTGAATCCACTCAGACATTTTCACACCAAACCCTAACATGAACAAGTCTCCCAGTACATATATGTAAAAATATACTGTAATTAAATCAGTTTTTAACTTTTTTTTCTAGCATCTGGGGTGCTGTTAAATTACGGCTGTTAAATTACAGAAATGTACCCTAAAATATCGAGTGTTAAATGACAGAAATTCGCCGGAAATTTAAATTGAAGGAAATTTCTGGAATTTACTGTGTGTTATTTTACAGTAAATTTTGTAATTTAACAGCCATTATTTTACTTTTTTTCTGGCACCCCAGCTGCACTGTAACAAATGCCTGTAAATTACAGCATTTTTTACAGCAGCTGACTGTTTTTCTAACAATACAGGATTTTGCTGTAAAATTGTGATTTCTGCGATAAAGTGACAGATTAACTGAAGGATGCAGGATACTGCTGTAAATTTCAAATTTTTCGAGGCATTATAGGATATTCAATGGTCAAGGCGTGAGAATGATTCACGTCTGTGGTAAGTGTATTCTTTCTTTTTTTATTGATTTTGTTTCCATCAAAATGCTGTAAATTGAATTACAGCACTGCTGCTGTTAAAAATACAGTAACTGGCTGGCAACCCTGCTGTCAGCTGTTTACGGTAAAATCTACAGGGAATTATTTGCAGTGTGTATATTTCATAACAAAATGAAAAGCAGCATCCAGAAACATTCTGAATGTAACTGTGCACTTTAACCCAGAAGTCCTGTAGTTTAGAACAGGACCACAGGACATGCATCAAGTCTCCTTCTTCACTCTTATATCTTCGGCATTCAACAGAGTTCTTTAACCTAAATCTGGAAAGCCTATTCGGAGTCCAAAAAAAAAAAAAAATTCAAAATTTGTAATTGTTTTAAAAGATCCTTTATTTTTAAGAGTGTTTGTGAATTATAATGAACTAAAACTAAAACTTTTATAAAAAATAAAAAAATTGTACCTGCTTTTTAAAAAAAAAAAAAAAAGTATCTTATAAAACTATATTTATTGATGAATGGTTCTTTAATAATGTATTACGAAACCTGTTTGGAAATAATAGTTGTTATTATTGCAATGTAAAACCCAATAAGTTATGATAACTTAAACTATTCGAGGAAACCAATTGCAACAGACCATTTAAGTTCAAAAACTAATCCTAATGAGTACTATGAACCTAATCCATTTGAGTACACGAAGCAATTTGACTACTGGAAAACCCAATAAGTTAAGGCAACTCAAACTGTTTGAGGAAACCGATTGCAACAAACCATTTGAGTTAAAAAAACTGATATATACGAGTACTGTGAACTTACTCTGTTAATAAGCTATTAATTAACTCATTACCTTCAACACTGACTTTAAAACTCTTTTTAAATGAGTAGAATTAACTTTAAGTATATTTTGATTTAACAACATTTATTTTATTTAATACATTTGGGTTTTAAAGTGTATTAACAGTGACAGATAAATCAAAATATGCTTTCACCTCCCTCCATATTCTTTTATGCATGATTTGGAAAGCATAAAGTGATGCGATGGCTCTAACACAGAAAATATTTCATTTATTGGCTAATGGACTCTCTCACACAGAAAAACATTGCTGATTGCTTCATTGAAGTGACGAGGGAAAAGTTCACCACTGTATTATCAACAAATACACCCGAGATCAAGAGATTCATTTTAGCCGAGCTGACATAAATGGGGAAATTTTTCACAAATAGGAAGTCAGCTGAACTGTAGAGTCAGGCCGACACTAAAGGTGTGTTTAAAGCTCATAAAATCATTAGTGTCAGAGTTAAAAGGGGTTGAGGTCAGGCCTCCTACTGAAATTCTAAACTGACAAATGGAGCAGGAACATGACTAAATGACTACGGGGAAAAATTGAAGGCAAAGCAGATTGTAATGGAACATCACTCAAAATCTGTACAGGATCTATGTGAGTTCGCCCACAGTCACGACAGCCACATATAACATGAAACAGGCTTACTTTAAGCCTTATTGTCATAGTGTTCAGAAATGAAAAATGTAATACCTAAACATATTGCTTTACTTGCACTTAGGCTTAAATTCAAAAGCCCCAGAGGTTAAAAAGCTTTGCTGTGTCACAAATCAGCAATGTCTGTCAATCACTGCTTGTGCTTTAGATGGACTTTAAAAATAAAGCCTAAATGTTAGAACTGTATGATTTAATTGTAACATACAATGTCAAAGTTTTAGCCTTTTATTAAACTGAAATGTCAACTTTAGTTATTTTGCCATGCAAGTTTACTACAAATACATACATATTTTATTAATTTTTCAACAGTTGTTATATATATAAAGGAATTTCACAACATTTGTCAGCCCTCATATCTTTCAGTGTCGCCCTCTATCAGCTCTGAGTGGATTCGCGGCACCAACTCTTAAATCTCCTCAATTACTACAGGGTTGATGTTTTGGTTCTCGTACAAAAGTTTAGTTCTCAGTGCGCTGGCATGAAGCCAAATAAATATTTTTGTTAACTTGCGAGTTCATTCATTCATTCATTTTCTTGTCGGGTTAGTCTCTATACATTAATCTGGAGACGCTACAGCGGAATGAACTGCCAACTTATCCAGCAAATGTTTTTTACGCAGCGGATGCCCTTCCAGCTGCAACCCTTCACAGGAAAACATCTATACACACTCATTCACACACACACACACACTTGTACACGACGGACAATTTTTATCATACACAATTCACCTATCCCACGTCTTTGGTCTTGTGGGGGAAACCGGAGCACATGAAGGAAACCCATGCAAACTCCACACAGAAACGCCAACTGACCCAGCCGAGGCTCAAACCAGCGATCTTGCTGTGAGGTGAATGTGCTACCCACTACGCCACCGCATCGCCTTGTAAGTTCACCATAAAACAAGTAATTATTTATAAGAACCTGGCTTGTGAAAAAAATAATAATAAGAAGAAGCTTGGTGGAAATGCATTATTTTCATTATTTATTGCATTTATTTATCAATCAAATCTGGAAATTTTAAATGTATATTAATCATTATATGTATAAAGGAAAAGACTAAGCCATTTAATACATGTTTACATTTATTTTTACTTCACATGCATTAAAAACAGACAAGCTTTATGGCAAATAAAAGTCAATGGCGGAAATTAGAATGTAATATGTAAAATATATGTAAAAATAAAAAAATGTAAAATGACAGGTATTCAGACACCGAGAATGTTAGAAGACAAAATACACGAAGACTCTATTGAAAATAACTGACACAACGAAATAAGAGACAAATACAGGGTGATACATACAACCAAACATGAACTATTGCAACAGGAACTAAAACTCAAGTAACAATGTGATGAACTAAAAATAGCATAAACGTGATATAGCCTACGTGACATACGTGATGTATCTATAATATAACTGTTGAATTGATTCCTTATACATCTAATTGTACATTCATAGTTGCTAAAAGCAGAAAAAACACCACACAATCCAAAAATATATTTTAGTTTCTTTAAGTTTTTTTTGTTTACTCGAAATTGTTGGTGCTTTTTATGTGGACCATGAGACAAGTCAAATGTCTGGCATCAAAAATAAACTAAAACCACAACCAGGAAACAAACAAAAAAAAATCACCGCAGGCGTGCACTACAAACAACGTATTCACAGCCCCTTCTTCACAGTTACTAGTGTGAGCTTGATGTGTGTGCGGGGGAAAGTGGGTGTCGCTGTGTATAATAATTATACGAGACAAGGGAGGTATTTTCTGACGGGTGGCTTCACACAGAAGACTCGACAACTCGAGCTCGGAGAACTGCAGCGCCTTCACCCGCAATAAGCGTCCCGTGAACAGATTCCAACTGGATTTTTGACAGGGGGAGCAGTCGAAATGTGGATATAATGAGTCCAAACACACACTATCTCAAAAGCCTGAACTCTTAAGTGGACCTAAGATGATTTGTCAACGGAGAGACGAGAAGGGTGCAAGGCACCGCAGAAGCACCGCGGACTGTTGTCTGAGAAATGATAACAAATGAACGACACGGAAAGGAACATGGTTGAAAGGACCAGTAAATTTCTATTGATCGTGGTCGGATCGGTCTTCTTCATGCTGATTTTGTACCAGTACGTGGCGCCCGGGGTGATAAACTTCGGCTCCCCGCACGGGTACCTTCTCGGCGAAGAGGATATGACCATTTTCCCCACTCCGGATCCGCACTATGTGAAAAAGTACTACTTCCCTATTAAAGATCTCGAGCGCAAGATTGATTTCGAAATCAAGGGGGAAGACGTGATTGTGTTTCTTCACATCCAAAAAACCGGTGGGACCACCTTCGGGAGGCATCTGGTCCAAAATGTTCGCTTGGAGCTTCCCTGCGATTGTAGACCGGGCCAGAAGAAGTGTACTTGCTACCGTCCGAACCGAAAGGAAACCTGGCTGTTCTCTCGGTTCTCCACCGGCTGGAGCTGCGGCTTACACGCGGACTGGACCGAGCTTACCAACTGCGTCCCGGGAGTTCTCAACAAAAGAGAGAGCAAGTCGAAAAAAATGAGGTGAGTTTGTTTATTTGTTTGACCCTGCGAGTTTGCCTGGAAATCTAGAGGGTTTCAAAACAACGTCGCGAGGAGTTTGGCCGAGTGTGTCAAACTCTCACACACTGGCTTTGTTGTTGCATATATTGATAACATTAGAATTTTAAACTATTGTGTGTAAAAAATCGCCTCAGTAGCCTACGTTAAATCTCCAGACTGTCTGAATTGGTTCTAGCGGAGAAACCGGTTAAAGCTAAATCTTTCATTATTACTTTTAATTACAAATCAAGCTCACACAACCTTTGGAAAGAATTTGAATCATTAAGGAATTTGTGCTATTGTAGGATTTAGCTGTTTTCCCCCATATGATATGTTGTTTCTTACCTATCTATCTATCTATCTATCTATCTATCTATCTATCTATCTATCTATCTATCTATCTATCTATCTATCTATCTATCTATCTATCGTATCTACTGTATCTATCTATCCATCCTGCTTCGGGTTGGATGGGGATCCCTTTCAGTTTCATAGCAGTTATGCAAGAAAAGTCAACTAAATTATTCCACAAATTTACATTTTGAGAATATGATATATAAGTAATTTTTTAAGTTTAGAAAAACAACACATTTTCACTTTATCAGACAAACATTAAGTGTTTACAAGTTATTATTTTTCCACAATTTAATTAGTAAAAAAATTAAACATTTGTACATTGTAAAATGACTGGGTTCAGTCAGGTTGGCTAATATTTATATTTTTAAACTATATACTTTTAGGCATTTATTTTAAATAGTTTCATCAGTTAACTGGACGAAAACATGCAAGACTGGTCTGCCGACTGATCTGTCAGTTGTCCTTAATGTTGTGGTCAGACCCATGGGTGTAGAATTGGCATGGACGGAGGGGACATGTCCCCACCAATATCCATCTATTACTGAAATGTCCCTACCAATAATTGAATCGACTTCAAAATAATATAATAATGTTCCGTCACCCCTTAGTAACCTACACATGCAAAAAGTCAAGTTCACTCCGAGTTCACTGTAATACTATTAACCAAGGCTGTGCAATTAATCGAAATTCACATTTGATTTTGGCCTCCATGATCATGAGAAGCTATAATCAAGATAAAACAGTTAAATTGCACTAAATTTCCCTAGATCCATACCTCCTCAAAGCCTGACTGCAGTACAATCTTGTAGATTGACTTTTGCAGCATGTACCGTGGTTGGTTTTTGTATTGTTGAGTGTTTATTTTATATTATTAAGTACTTTAATTATATTTTTTAAAAGCGCGAAGCAGAATTTTTGCTGTTCAGTGCAGCTCTAATGATGTATGTCCCCACCAATGTCAAGAGCAAATCTAAGCCCTTGGTCACACCACACAATATCAGCCTGTTTTTGTCACAATCTGTTTGATGTAAGTTATAGCACAGATTCATAATTGACAATGTGTGACCGGATGAACAAATTTATTGTTTTTAAAAGTTATCAGTATCAGTTCAGTATGAAAATACATCATAATCTAATAATGAAATTATGGGTTTTCCTCTGGTTGATCCACTTCTGCTACGATAAGGGGGTTTTGATCAGTGCCTTCCATGCAACACGACACATTACACACACAGCAGATGCTTACATTACAAGAGATTGTTATAAAGAGAAAACAAGATGAGTTACTGATAACATAAACAACATAAATGTCCACATTGGTTCATCCATAGTTTTATCCTGTGAAGTGGAACAGCTTATGCCAGCGATATGGGTTTCTAAGGAATGATGATGTTTATGGATTAGTATACCTCACAGTACGATCGCCACACTATTCAATTCCCCTGAAGTTAATGTCTTAGTGGCTTCAGGTTAGAACCCAAAAATGAATCTTATGATGTCATAGTTGGTGCAAAATAACAATCTGAGCGTTCTCTTACCACATCTGATTGTAGCGACCATGCATGGTGATTTAGTGAAAACTCTGGTTTTGTTTTATGCAGCGCTTGAACCTACAACCTTTCATAACTTCTAACCACTAAACTACATCACCCCTATTTCTATCGCATACGTCATTTCTCCAAGTTGACCGCAAAATGAAGTGGCTCGATTGTGTTTATTGTCTCAACGAGCAGAAAACCAAAGCAGTTTCTGTTTATACACAAGGAAGCTCTCCAGCTGTGTAACCAGATAACTAGTCAGACGCACAGCAGGGTGTGTTTTAGCAGGCCTGCAGGGAGAGCTGAAATAACATGCTGATATCTTTGCCGTTCCGGACAAGTTAAAGGCTTCTTTCATGACTTTCTCTCAGCGTTTGAAAAACGCCGGCGCTAAATGTGATAATGGACACCGTGACTCATGTTTCAGAGTTACAAAGTGCAAAAAGACATCCTAGAACTTGCCTTTACCTTTCACTTTCCCAGGTGCGTTTCTAGGAGTTTTCTGACTCTGCCTGGGGAATTTTGCCGAATGGCTTAGCAGCATTCCAGTATACGTATTAGCAAATGACCAGTTAACCTCTTAAACCTCTAATTGACATAATGGTGTTGTAAAATGTGCACTTTTTTCAGCGCAGATGTTTTCAGATTCACAGGTATGAACTCCCACTTTTTGCCAGCTACATGCAAGCTTGATGAGAACTGGAAATTGCATGGATGGTTATGTCTAATCACTCAGAAAGCGGGTTTAAAAGCTGGTCCAGCTAGCCTAATAGGTATCCCGCTGGCACAAGTGCATCGGACATGCCTTGGCGCTCAGGCCTAAGTGACTCGCACTACCAAGTGAGTCTTTACTGGCTGATCTCAATGAGCCCACACCGTCAGACAGGGATGCACTTAAATACGCAGAGCTCCGTTCACACTCCCCTGCTGTTGACGTGTTTTCAAGATGGAATCACCATGTGTTCAGTGACTACAAAGTGCTTCTTTCTGCACCGTTTGCTAGTTATGAGTGACCCTGCGGGAGAAGTTGTTGAGGGTAAAATCTAAAAGTTTTGCTAAAATAGTCTGAAAATATATATATTTACATGCTAAAAATAGATATTTTGATTGGAATAAATGTTAAGTTAGTATTATATGCATGTTATTAGGCAGTAATTAATATTAATTTATGTGTTGGTTCAAATGTATTGGATATTTAATTGTTTGTGCTGATTTCCTCGCTGTTCTTTTTCATTTAGATTATTGTTGCTGCCATCGAATGTCCCTGTGAATAAATATATGCATTTACATGGCATGCTAACACATACTTTTTGATGGGGAAACCTATTATCCTAGTATTATATCAGGGTGTCCGTGGGGCCTTAAAAGTTTTAAAAGTTGATAAATCAATGTAGAGATAAGGCTCTTAAAAACGATTAAAAAGTCTTAAATGCTATTTTGCAAGGTATTCAATTTTATATCATTTTTGATTATGCAATGTATGGTTGTATGCTAAAGTTAAATTAAATCTGTGAATATCAGGATGCTGTGTAGTTTATGAAATCAATAAAATCCTGTGTTGTTTATTCAGTATATAAATAACGTTATACTTTTGGATAAGTTTCTTACATTAATTTTTAGTAAATACTGTAAGTTAAAATCTCACCAGTGTTTCCGGTTGAAACCTAAAGTGGTTATAAAGTCTTAAAATGTATGAAAAGAGTTTTATAAAGGTCTTAAAAGGTCTTGCTTTCACTCTCTGATTCCTGTATATATGTGGTATTATACAGTTGTCAGTTTTAATTAATCTGTTATGGTTAAAATAGTTTTGTATATTCATTTAATTGTTCATGCTTATTTCCTCATTTCTTTTTTTTTTGTTCAATTACTGTTGCTGCTATTTAAAGTCATTGTTAAGAAAAACTTTTTTTCCAAAAATCTCACCACTTTTAACTTGATCAGGATTAATAAACCATTATTTTATTTATTTATTTAACAAGTTTTGTACAGTAATTATGCTCATACAAGTGAGAGATTTTTGAATGAAGGGTGCATTACTTGATTTTAAAATAACTGAAGGAAACACACACTATCTACTATCTATGATCATTTATTGAACATCAACGTTAAACAACTGAAATTGCCTGAAACCAACAGCCACGTTTTTCCTATAAAAAGTGAAAATAATTAACTTGCACTTTTGGAAACAAAATTAAATATATATAAAAAAAAAATTATATTAAAAGTAGAAAATAAGCAGTATCTCTTCTAAATAAAATAGCTTGTGTATATCCTGTAAATAATAATTTAAATGGTGCATTTCTTGAATCTCCTGTAAGCAAATATTTTAATGTAAACAATAGTTTTATTCCAATGAAAAAAATGCCCTCTCTGTACAGTTTCCAATCATCGTCAATGTAGTGCTAAATTTTCGACGTATAGCTATATTTTTTGAGAGGTGCATGGATATTCTACCACATGAAGGCTGTGCCAAACCATACCCATATGTTCAATGCAGAACCATTAAGTAGCCTAACAGAGCGGGGTCACATGACTCCACACGCGGTAGAGAAAGTAACTGAAAAATTGGACCTGGAAAAATTAGATCAATTGTAGGTTCTGAATGTCAAGTTATTAGATTAATTGCCCAGCCCTAGTTGTGATTTATATGAGAAATGTTTAAAGAACTAAATAAAAATTTAAATATTATTTCTGTATTTTTTGGTAGCACATGTTAATGCATTAACTATTATTAAGCAATTCGGTGCTTTAGCTTAGTGCTAATTAATAAAATGCAGCCATTAAGTGTTCGCTCAGTCCATTAAATAATATTAACTGATACATTTGTAATATTTAACTTAGTTAAAATGAACATTATCTAAAATTAATAAAAGTTTTAGAACTATATTTCCAGCTAAGAGAGTTTATAGATACTAAACCATTCTACACCATTTAAGAAAAAACATACCATACTTAAACATATTTAAAATGTCAATCTATAGAATATAGTGTAGAGTTTTTATTAGTCGTTTATTGACAAAAATGTTAAACACATTATTAGTTCAAGCTGCAAAAATCAGTCCAAGGCACTTGAAAAATGCGGAAAAA